CCTTTTCCTATGTCATTCAAAAAACCCAAACAAACAAAAAGAGGACTATTTTTTCAGGAAATTAACAAAAGGAATAAAAAGTAAATTAATGCCTCCACTAAATTTGAGTCAAAACTAAAAACCACAGCATTTAGTGTAATAGGAATGAAACCGTGGTCACACGAGGACTTGCAATAGAAGGTACATGAAGAGAAAGTGCTTTCATATATTTAACAGTCAGTTCACAAAACATTGCAAAAACTATCTATGGAGAGATAAAACCTCCAAAGAGAAAACTGGCTAGTTTGTCTTTGAAAAAAATGCCATGAAAAATATTCGTATAATTTGGCATAGCCTATAGCTATTCAAAAAAATAGTCTTCACTGGAAAAAAGGTCTTATCTGATTTTTGTTATATACATTTTGCATATCAGCAGAGAGCACCTTTCAGCACTGACAGCGTAAATAATAATCAGCATAACAATGCAATGGAATTTATAATCTATACTTAAATTTTAATTTACTATGTCTTTCATATAATTTTAATAGTCTTAATATATTACAAATCTCATGAAGTGCAATTTGAAATGTATAAAAATAAATACATTTTGCAAAGAAAATATTATGTCTGTTTCTGATCTGATTATAATATTTTGCCCACATCCTGTTACCTGGGTCTCGTATGCATTGTTTTTAAAAGAAAAGCAGAACTGGACATTCATAATGCCTCTTCAGTATAATGCAGAAGTGAACACTGCCTGCCAGTTCTGGACTATCTCTTACATAGGTTTCATTGTATAAAGTGCAGAAGCATCAATATTCACTGCTATTTTTGAAAGCGTTTTACAGTCCAGATTTATTAAAAAATAATTCCAGTGCCTTCCTGAGAACTCTGTATTAATGAAAGTCAGCTCAATGTGTTGCTTTACTTCTCATTCAAGCTCTTGTTTTTTCTCCACTGTTTAACAGCATCAGCGATTGGCTGGTCAAAGCAACTAAAATAACAGAGAAACACAGGGACAGTTGAAAGAAAGAAAAACAAAGCTGAAATATTTCTGTGAGGGGAGGAGATGCATAGCAGCCCCCAGGAATACTTCTGAGATTTTTTTTCCACAGGAACGTATTACTGAATTAATGTGGAATGAATAAATGAACCAATAATGGCACTTGAGCAGGAAACCAGGATTCCTAAAGCTTTTATGTTCATAGTAGCTGATTTTCTCAACTATTGGTTGTCCACGGTAAAACACTGAGAGATGAAAGAATAAAGATTCAGAAGGTGACTTGCCAGAATATAAGTAATTTTTATGAGCTTAAGTAATACATGAAACTGCTATGTTATTTCATTGTCAGTGGCTTTTTTCCTGCCAGTCCTTACTGAACAGCAGTGTCAGGAGTTCCTAACATATTTCAAAATCATCCCGTCCTTTACCATGCTCATAACTAAATACCATCATTACCTTAAAATATGGTCTCTTAAATTAGTGATATTTTATCTTTAAAAGTTCTAATGTCTGCTTGTTCTGAAGCAAGTTATAGAGAATCTTGAAATTATTGCTTTTCAACATCCAGGTGTTGTATTATTTGTGTTTCAGTAATGCAGGTATAAATGTTGGTAAGGATGCCATATTAAAGGGGATAAACTGAGTACTTTTCCCTCCCAGATGATGGTAGAGAAGGACTGAGAGGAAAGACTCATTCACTCTGTCTCCCTTCCTCCTTTTGGCAAATTTGGCTATGTGTGAGGTACCTGGGCTTTTCTATACACGACCTTTACTCCTTCTAGCATAGCTGGGTAACTCATGTGAAAGGACATCAACCTGACTGATGCAGCCCTGCCTAAAAAATTGCACCTTTTCCTGTGTAACTCATTTCTTAGCTGGGACGGTTTTAGTATAGTTGCACGCAGCTCAGCTTTATCAGAACGTCTATGGCCACCTCAGGCATGTCTGCCAGATTAGTTTCTCCGTAGCAGTAAAGTGCTTTAGTGATTTAGACTGCCAGTGGAAGAAAATTCTAGGCAAAGAGATAAATATCAGCAGTGACACATAAACAAACATATATCCATTAGATAATCCCAATTCTAACTAATAAACATATATCAGGAAAGCTGATAATTGTCCTTGAGATAAATGCTCTGGATTCTAACTAGAAAATCAGTCAAGCATACATTCTTCAACAGAGCTTGGAAAGTCATGTGAAGTTCAAGGCTTTTTTGGAGGAACGGCAATTTTCAGTTAAGAAAATGTGGAGGGTATACAGTGCTTAGTCACAATTTGATGAAAAGTGCTGAGGGAAAATTTTGTTTTGGACTGCATTATACTTCGTTGAAACAAGCAGGTATAAGAGCCAGACCTTATTATTAATAAATACAAGGAACAGCTAAACCCCAACAGGCGAAATGCATCCTCACACAAAACAAAGTATATGCAAGGCATATGTGTGGGCAGGGAGGGCTTCATTGCACACAGCCTGGAGGTATTAGTCCCCAAGAGAAAACACAAAGTTGAGATATGAAGAGCATACAACATTGCCAAGGACACACTCTTGGAATATCGAGAAATTTAGCTCTGAAAAAAGCCTGAAGAGTGCTTTAGGATGAGGACTAGGTAAAAAGGGATTGGAACAGTGAACCAGCGGCGGCTGTTTGATGCTGCTGTGTTCAGAGAAATAAATTCTTTTAAATATACAAATTGCAAACACAAATATCTAACTTCAAAATTAACTTTTTTCTGCAGGAGAAACAACCTGGGGAACCTTGACTCTTACCTTTTTCAGTTAAAAAGGAATAGCATTAAAAACATTATTTTAAACAAAAAACAACCCCAAACTATTCCCTATATGATTTCTTCCACATGTAAACTGTTCATATCCAGTATCATGAATAATAGCTCATGTAAACAAATTATTTTAAGATGTCGTTTGTTTTAAACAATAAAATGTCAGAACTGCCAATAAGTGGCATAGGTCTCTGCAGTCTTTCAGGTAGGGGCAATTAATTTCACAATCAGCTCAAGACATTTTCCTCTGGTGAGAAACAGTAAGCTTCCACCGTGTACTTTTCTGCTACTCATGCAATTTACCATCAGACAGATACAAATCCTGCCATAAATATTATGGAAGAATAATCAATCAGGCACTATTCTAACAGACTCTTCTCTAGAATTATGTAATATTAAATCTACCAGAAGAGATTCTGGAACTTGCAGGTTTCAGAAGCCAGCAATCTCTCTGGCTTGATCTACCAAATCAGTCATCAAGATTCAGTGGGGCTTTTGAATGCTTCAGCCAACTATGATTTGCCAAAAGTTAATAGGTATGTTTATATCTTACCTTCTGTTCAGTATGTGTACCATGCATGAATTGAACCCTAGGTATCTAATATCCTGTTCTTTCTTCAGAGCTATAGCTCTTTCTGTGCGAAGTATGAACATGCTCAATTAATGATATGCTAATCACTCCTTCTTTTACCCTCACTGCTCAGTATACAAACCCTTACCGTATTTATATATTGACTATATAAACTCTTACCTCATTTGTTATTTGTGCCTGCCATAACTATATTCCTAATTTCTATGGTGTTCATCACTATGATATCAAAGACATCAATGCATTTGTCCTTACAACATCCTTGTGAGGAAAAAGGATGGGTTTATTCCCATTTTACACATGGAAAACTGAGGCGAGGAAAAATTATGCATTTTTATATCTACTTAATTAGGATTCCCATTTGGAGAGGAGCATGAGACCTAATTTTTCAGCATATTTAGCATATATTTGTTTCATGTAGTGAAAACATAGCTCCCAGTGGCTTTCATTACAGCAACTTGCCCAAATGCTCTTCAGAACTCTGCGGGAGACTTATGGATAGCGTTCAATTTTCCTGAAAGGCATTCAACTGTCTTCAACAAGACACAGTTCTTCATTGTGTATTTCCCTGCCACAGTCATTACAAGCTTCCTTCACTTCATGACCCCTCAACGCATGCCCTAACACACAGAGGGAATCCCACTGAAAAAAGGACTTGATCACATCATTAAAGGCTGTACCATTATGCATATTCAGAAAATGCAAGGAGAATAACCAAGGCTGTACAAAAATTCTTAATTGTGGTATTACCTAACACGTGAAGATAAACTTTACAACCTCATTTATATTTTAAGGTAAATTCGTATGTATAATTTTTTTAAACAAAAAATGAAAAATAATTTTCAGCATATCGGCGTATCTTCTTGTCTACTGTCACCCGAAAGTCATTAACACAGTTAGAATCTATAGATTGCCTATACAAGCCCTCTGACCCTCAGGCTCACATGATGATGCATATCAGCAGTAAAGCATCATCCTCTCTCTGGGCCAGCAGCAGAGGAACACAAATGGCAGCAAGAGAACTCCAGCAATGGAAGAAAAAAGAGAGTCAGGCTTGCTGCTTTCAGGTCTGATCTCACCTAGATTTGGATCCACAGAACACAACAGTGACTCTGAGGAGATGGAAATACTTTATATATGAGATGCTTCTGGAGACCTTCCGTTACAAAACTCTAAGGAGCCACTACTGGGTGTATGCAAACCAAGATTTTTGAATAGTTTACAGCTTGATCAGCTTTGAGTTCATTTTTACAGCAAAGACAAAAGAGATGCATTTGAAATTTGGCCCGTGTATCAAGTTCCTGCTCCAGACTAGTAATCTTAGTAATCTTGGTTAGAGCTTAGCAAAGAAAAAATCAGCAGAACTTTATTTTAAAGGGCATATTCCTATCTCTAGCTTCTTTCTCTGAAACAAATGAGATTTTTCTGATTGCCTCAAATCAATTCAAGTCTTAGAAGAATTCAAACTACACAATTAAAGCACCGCAAAACATGACAACCAGGCTTTATCTTTATCAAGGTAATCTGAAGTCACTTAATAACAAAACTAGAACTTATAAATTTCCTCCCAGATTTTATCCTACAGAACAAAATAAATGCATTATTAAATAGTAACTCATGAACATAGTCTAACACTTAAGAATGGAAACATACATTGCTTTCCTTTTTCTTGGTGTGGTGAGAAGCATACCCTTGTGGTGGTGTCATTTTCAGTTTTGTTTTGAAATTGAGAGCACTTGAGGAATTCTGGCCAAGAAGCATTTACCATCCCCAGGACTGGTTCACACCCTTCTTTTGCTGCCTCACAAAATGTCCTGCAGGGCAGGAGACCTCGACTGGAGAAAAGAGACAAAGATAACAACGATTATTATTCTAATAGGTTGTGAAAACTTTGAAAAAGAGAAAAAATAATAAAAGAAAATTAAACATATTTGAATAATTTTATGTTGTACAAAGCTGCACCAGAAAAGGTGATCTAGAGCCAACTCTTCATTATTCATTGAAGGTGATATCAGGTCTGGCTTTCAGGCCAAATTTAAGCCCAAATCAGGGTCAGAGCAGTCTGTAATTTCAACTCTATGCAAGTTGACACTGAGATTTCATCAGCAACTGAACCAATGTAATGGTGTAGTGACATAAGACAGGAGAAGGTTTGCTCCCTTATCCTCTCCCTCCTCCCCACAATCGTGCAGTCCTACTCCCTCTGACTTTTGCCAGATGTTTCCATGAGGTGATGAAAAAATCACTAACCTGAAGAAAACTTTGCATGTTTTTGATTGGGTAAGTTTTCTGACAACTTCAGCAAGTTGAATCTGCTCATGGAGGGAACCAACAACCACCAAAGCTAAGCTGTAGTAAACCATAGAACCACATCACCCGCATTTATGAGCTGTTACACTGATTTCCCCTGAGCAGTTAAAATATCCTCAGTGCCAGGAAAAAGACCAAAGACAATAAATACCAGAACATGACTTATATTGCATTGAAAAAGGAGCAAGATAAAATGGTAATTTTTAAAGCATCACAAGTTTAAAGGAAGCATACTTGTCCATTTCTTACTCTGAGATATATACCTCCATAGCTATTTTTTCATTACTCTTCCTCTACACAGGAGGAGGAATTAAAATAGGTAACTATGAACTGTCTCCAGTTCTACACAGTTAGACTCAAAAAAGTCAAGCAGAAAGGCAAGAAAATCTATGAATATGTTTACTATAGATCTGGAAAAGGACAAAAGAACAGTAAAGTCACAAGATTACAGGTGGCATAATGTTAGCCTAGTTAGTCAAGATCTACTAAACAAAAGATAACAAGGAATTTCAGAGAGCCCTTCGCCAGGTTACGTAACATGTGGGAGCTGTAACTCAGGGTAGACTACTGCAGCATAATGTACCCAGGAAGGAATAACTGGAAGTCTACATGCACAGTGCTCTGCTTTACTGCCAGCTTACACTAACCTTCTGTCTGAAAACTGTTCTGGTGGAACAGAGGAAAAGCTCTTGCACAGTCAACACTAGTCTTAGTCGTAAAGAACACCTTTCCTGGCAAGGATCAGCACCATCTGTGGGAACACTTCTCTCTGTTACTTGGCAGAGTGGACTAACATAAACTATCACTGGAGCATAATGGAGTAAAACCTCTCAGTAAGTAGGTGCAATTGTACCTGAGAGTGCCCAGACACAAACAAATACCAGAGCCCAAGTGAGACCCATTGCCTGCCTATGCAACACTTTTCTCATCCATGTGAGCGCTAAGTCAAAAAGATCACTGCTGGAGAGCAGTAGCACTGATGGAGCTTGATGGTGCCATCTAATAATACCAATCTGTTAACACTGAATAAATATCTAAACTCCAACTTGCCAGCATGATAGCCTTACACAGCCTCTAGAGCTACAAAGTCTGTTATACTCGTGAAGAAGTTAGAAAGAAAAGAGGTTTAGATATGCAGCAGGAAAAACAAGACATCTGAGTGGTCTTTGTCAGGAGACTGCTAACCTTCTGAATGCGGTAATAGAAAGACCTAAAAATGGCAAAATTGCTCTCTCATATACAAGTGTAATGACCTACCACTACATTTTGCCTACATGTGGATTCCTTCATGGCATTTACTTTAGTGCTCTTTGCATTTCTTAAAATATTTTTTTTAAAATTACCAGCAAAAGATTGGGAAGCTAATGTGTATTCATAATTTATAAATTAAACCATATTTATGAATTATGACAAAAAAACAGAAGTCACACACATATTCAAACCAGAATAGATTTCACTCATGTTTAAAACAGTTCAAGTTTTCTTGGGCCTAATTAAGATCAAGGCACATATTCCTAAGAACATAACAAAAAATGTAACTCTGGCTCTGACTTGCAAGTAAAATAGTTTTTGCCTGAAAGCATTATTACGTATCATTGGCTCTGTTTTATTGCAAAATACGATATAAATTGTAATTTTTTACTTACCTTGAAATCAAAGTTTTGTCATTCATTTCTATGCTCAGGGAAAAGAATGATGATTTTCTAAAATAATGTGGTGTTTAAAATATGATTAGCATGTTAACTTAATATGTATTCATTATATTCTTAATGATACTTCTGGCTTTATAATATGACATTTTATTCTACACAATCATTTTTTTTAAATTCACCAAGACTGGGAAGGCGTGTCTTGTCTTATTAATTTTCTTATCCAATTTAGAAACACAGTTATGAATGTCCATTGTCTTCACTGTCTATAATTTCAGAGTCATCTGCTGCCTTGTAACAATACAGGCCAGGTACTGACTGGCTGGGAAGCAGCTCTGCTGAAAAAGACCTGGGGGTTTTGGTAGACAGCAAGCTGGACATGAGCCAGCAGCGTACCCTGGGGCAAAGATGTCAAACAGTATCCTGGCCTGTATTTACAGTCACACAGCCAGCGTATTGAGGGAAAGAATTGTTAGAATGCATCTGGATACTGTGTCTAGTTTTGGCTGCTCCAATACAGGAAAGACATTGATAAACTGAAGCAAGTTCAGCAGAGGGCCGCCAAGCTGGTCATCGCCTGAAGGACAGGCTGAGGGAACAGGACTTGTTCAGCCTGGAAAAGAGAGATCTAATAGCAGCACCCCAGTACCTACTGGGAGGTTCTCAAGAAGGCAGAGTCAGGCTCTTCACAGTGGTACATGGTAGCAGGATGACAGATAACTGGCATACGCTCTAAGAAGAGGTGTTCAGACAGGATATAAGGAAAAACTTTTCCGCCATGAGATCAGTCAGGCAGTGGAACAGGTTGTCCAGAAGGGTTGGAGGTTTTGAAGACACAAGCGGATAAAGCCCTGAGTACATAATAAATATACTTCTGCTTCACTGAAGAGACAAGTTGTATCATGTTATTGATGAACATATTCAATAAAATGAAACAATTTACTATTTAAGTTCTTCTGTTGATGGAAATTTGTCTAGCAAATGAGAACAAAACTGAAAGAAATATCACAAACTAACATGAAATGTGGAAGCTATGCGGAATATTCTGAAATGTTTTTCATAATGTTGGACAAACTGCAAATGCCTTATTTCTTGATGTTACTGGAATCTGGAAACAACTTCAAGAACTATTACAGAAGGAATTACCCAAAAGAAGTCAAAGTGCCTAGCCAATGATTCAGTCAGAATACTGAATCATATATATATTTATACATACACACACTTTTAAATATCATTTTTGCTTATTTTAAGTAGATTATAATAAGTTTAGCCATTAATTAAAGTTTTCATATTTGAAACAGTTAATTTATTGCAAAAAATGTTAAAAAGTAAGACTCTTTGAACCCTTACCATATTCATTATCGTAACAACAAACACTTGCTTCAGCGTTTGAGAAGGAACAAAGGGCCTTTTTCAAGAAATAAGTTGATCTGTCACTCAGGTCTGCACCTTGGAGAACACCTTCAACCTGCACTTGATTCTATGTCTTCACATCCAGGCTACATTTAGGTACTATGTGTCTCCGACATATGTTTCCTCCTGTGCAGCAATACAACTTTTTGCAGTTTACAATTAAACTACTGGAACACCTTTTTCTTGGGCTTTAGCAAATGCAATCTTGCTCCATTCATACCCCCTCAGAATGTCAAAGAAAAGATCTTCTTCTTAGCATACCACTTAAATCATACCTTTCTCTATGCATCTGACTCCTGGTTCTACTTTCCCATCCAAAAAATCAAGCTGAGAACTCCATGTTCAGGCATGAATAAGTGGCCTGAACAGAAAGTGCAGAGTACACAACAGCTCCCTTACTTACTTCAGTGTTTCATTTTACCGTAACAGAGAAAAACACAATACCGCTAGGAACTGTCTGATATTACAGCAGTGAAACCTGCAACCAGGGAATAAAAAGCTGTTAGAGCTGCCTGACTACTAGAGGCAACAAGGAGAAATTGATGGAAGGCAAAATATTCACTGGCATGAGTCTAAGCATTCTATTTTTAAATAAAATAGCACAAATTTCAATTTTTCACTTTGACCTATTGAGATGAGTTATGTTTTCTGAAGTTAGTATGGTTTTCTCTGTTTATTAACTAACAAGAGGGATGTGCTGCCAGTGTCCTTATTGACACACTCCAGTTGTAACTGCAGCTTCAGAATAGAAATCTTTACAGATATAATCTCAAGTAATGCTAAGGTCTTTTACACAATATTAAATGACCTTTAAATGCTGCAGGATTGAAGTTATCTCAGATATAAGACAAGGACCTTTATCTCTAAACTTGTCTCTTGCAGCTCCCTACTTGGCAGCTTCCTTGTTGCCTGGAAATAAGCACTTGCATCCTAAAACAGTACTTTTCACCACCAGACTCTGATGTGTTGAAAGGCAGAAAGTTTTAGCACCGTAAAGCACTATCTGGCTGTGTGCAAAACCAAGAACAAACAGTCTGTCCTGATAACAGGAAGAGCTGCCACTTACTAGTTCTGCACACTCTTGGCAAATTAAAGGTTTGCTGTCTGGCCTGGAACGTCTCTGCGGATAAAGATGTTCTAAAACATTCCTCCGTTTTTTACAGAACCCATCTTGATACGAAGAGAAAAAAAGGCATAGCAAGAGCACTGCAGCAGCCATCACTGTTTGTCTCCTGACTGGGGCCTGAAACACTCCCCAAATGCAGGGGTTTTGACAGTGCAAGTGACTGTCTCCAGACACTTTCGTTTAGGGTTTGGGATTTTTTTTAGCTTTTCTTTTTGACTAATCTACTACTTCTAAAAAGCAAATGAGCATAATCGCATCTGGGCAGAGGTAGCCACGTGAGCAGTTTGACTGGTTTAACTGAGGCTCAGCACAGAAAATGCCAGAAGAAAAACCATTT